GGGGTAAGAGGATTCACCAGAGAGAGTGGGAGCAAAACAGATTGACTGAAATATACTGCTGAAGGGAGCAGCAGGTGAGACCGAAGAGGTCTGCTGCACCATGTGGGTTAGCTCCCTGGCCAGGTATCGAACTCATGCTGCAAATAGCTTGACGGTGCTGAGACTTAACCCCTTGCACCGGCCCTTGCACCACCAGGAAGGCCCTCCTCTTTTTCTTTTGGTTGGTTTAGTTTCATACCATTGTTAAATGAAGAGATGAGTGAAATTTCAGCCTTCCTAAGTTTGTTTTTTTTTTTTTTAAAGATTTATTTATTTATTTATACAAGCACTGGGTACAGTCAGAGTGTGGAAGGGTGAGAGAATTCACCAGAGCAGGGAGCAGAACAGACAGACTGACAAAATACACTGCTGAGGGGAGCAGAGGGCATGGCAGAAGAGGTCTGCGCGCCATGTGGGACCCTCGCTGGTGGCCGGGGATCGAACCGGTGCTGCAGAGGCTGTGGGCAGCTTCGCAGCCCAGCGCTCAACTGCTGCGCCACCAGGGAGGCCCAGCCTTCCTAAGTTTATTGAGACTTGTTTTCTGTCCCAGCATCCCTCAGAATGTCCTATGAGTACTTGAATAGTTTTTTGGGGGGTAGAGTGTTCTGTAAACATCTACTAAGTCCATCTTACCCAATTTGTCATTGTAGTTGATTGTTTCTGTTTTTGTCTGGCGTTCTGTTATTGTTGTGAGTGGTATGTTAAAGTCAGATACTACTGTTGTATGTCTGTAATTGTCTCCCTTTTGCTCCGTTAGTATTTGCTTGGTGCTACCATATTGGGAACATATATATTTATAAGTGTTAAGTCATCCTGTTGTATTGATCCATTTATTGTTATATAATATCCATCTTTGCCTCTTGGTTGCCTTTTTTTCTTTAAAGATTTATTTATGCATACAAGAACTGGGGTACAGGCCAGAGGTGTGGGGGTGAGAGGATTCACCAGAGACAGAGCAGAGAACAGAACAGGTGGACTGACCAAAATACACTGCTGAGGGGAGCAGCAGGTGAGTCAGGAGAGGTCTGCTGCGCCATCTGGGTTACCTCCATGGCCGGGGATTGAACTCGTGCTGCAGAGGCTGCAGATAGCTTCACAGTGCTGCATCTCAACCCTTTGCGCCACCAGTGAGGCCCCTTGGTTACCTTTTTTGACTGAAAGTCTATTTTATGTATAGCAGTTTCTGCCTGTTAAAAATTTCCATCATCTTAGAGTCATTTTCTATCCCTTCATATTAAGTTTTTTATAGCTTAAGTGAGTCTCTTAGGGCAGCTTATAGTTGGGTATTGTTATTTATTTATTTATTTATATTTTTAAAAGATTTATTTATTTATACAAGCACTGGGTACAGTCAGAAGCGCGGGAGGGTGAGAGAATTCACCAGAGCCAGAGCGGGGAGCACAAAAGGCAGACTGACGAAATACACTGCTGAGGTGGGGAGCGGGCGCAGCAGTAGAGGTCTGCACGCCATGTGGGACCTTTGCCTGGCGGCTGGGGATCGAACTGGCGCTGCAGAAGCTGCGGGCAACTTTGCAGCCCAGCTCTCAACTGCTGTGCCACCGGGGAGGCCTGGGTATTGTTTTTCAATTCATCCAACTACTGTCTTTTAATTGTAGAATTTAGTCCATTTGCATTTAGACTATTACTGATAAACGACAGCTTGTTTCTGATTTTATCTTATGTACTTTGGTTCTGTTTGTTAATGTTTTGTAAATTTTCTTTTTTTACTTAGATATAAGTAAAATATCTTTCATCATTCTTGAAAGGGGGGTTTAGTAGTATCCAACTCCTTCAGTCTTTATTTTTCCCTCATGTCTGAAAGAGTTTGACAGATTACTGTTGTCAGCTTTCATCTTTTGAGTCTTATGAATATGTCATTTTGCTCTCTCCTGTCCTGTAGAGTTACTGCTGAGAATTCTGATGGGAGTACCTTTTTATGTTACCTACTTTCTCCCCCTGCAACCCATGTGTCTTTAAGTAGGTCTCTTTGCCTTTAGTTAATCAGGTGTTCTGTTAGCTTCATGTAGTTGTATACTTAATTCTTTAGCTGTGGGAAGTTCTCAGCTATTATTTTTTTGAATAAACTCTGTTCACTTCTCTTTTTCTTTATATCCCAGGATTCCCATAGCCATTATGTTACCTTTCCTAACAGAATCACATAGCTCCCTTAGCATCGCTTCATTTCTTGAAATACTTATTTCTCTCTTTTTCTACTGGATTATTTCTAGGTTTCTATATTCAGGCCCACTGACTTGTTCCTGCAATAGGTCTATTCTATTTCCATGGTTTTCTGTAGCATTCTTAGTGTTGCTTATTGAGTTCTTCCCAATCTGAATCTGTTAGTTTCTTTTTTTTTTTAAAGATTTTATTTATTTATATAAAAACTGGGGTACAGGCCAGATACGCAGGAGGGTGAGAGGATTCACCAGAGACAGAGTGGGGAACAGAACAGGCAGACTGACGAAATACACTGCTGAGGGGATCAGCAGACGAGACAGGAGAGGTCTGCCGCGCCATGTGGGTTTCTCCCTGGCCAGCCGGGATTGAACCCTTGCTGCAGAGGCTGTGGACAGCTTCACAGTGCAGTGCTCAACCCGCCTGCACCACCAGGGAGGCCCTGAATCTGTTAGTTTCTTAATTAAAGCTTCAATTTTATTTCCTGCTCGTTAATTTTATTCTATTTTATCACCTTTTATACTATCCCTGGCCTTTGTTTAAAATCAGAATTGAGCTGCCTGTCTTTTCTTTTTCCAGCAGGTGGTGCTATGGCTTTGTTTTTTAGTTACTAAATGACAGCCCTGAGGTGCCTCAGGCAACCACAACACAACTGCTGGTGTGTCATTAGGGTCGGGGAGAAGAGTTTGAAGGTGGTCAGTCATTAACGTGGACATGTGGGAGGGCTGGTTCTCCTATATGTCCCTGCTGTTAGCCCTCCTTTTTGGGGTCCCAGATTTGATGTTCTGCTTCTGTGCACTATTAGTACCCTTCTCAGTACCAGCACAAATTCCAAGATGTGGGGAAGTGAGTCTGTAGTCTATACTACTTTCTCTGTTCTCCATTCTGGGGTTCCAGTCCATATGAAGTAACCCTAGCATCTCTGCTTTGGGGTTCACATATGCCACGTCCATGCTGTGTCTTTTCATCCCAGGGACTTTGGTTTGGGAACCCTGTTGTCTTCATTCCTCTCAGACTACCCACACTGTTCATCACTCTCTACCTGTCTACCTTCCATTGTACAAATGGGCTGATCTCCTTAGATTCGTTCTAAATTGTTGATCTGAGGTGCAGCGGCTGCTTCAGCCTCACCACTGTATATGGGATTCCCTCTGTAGTCCTATCCCTGGATAATTGTCAGTCATTCCTCTTGTGAGTAAAGCAAGGAGTATCTTCTGTTGCCATCTTGACATCCTATTTTGGTTTTGCTTTTTTGCCTATGTTTTTGGTGTCAAATTCAAGACTTCATAGCCAAATCCTACATCATGAAGTTTTTCCCTTATGTTTTCTTCTAAGAGTTTTACAGTTTTAGGTCTTATACTTAGGTCTTTGATCTATTTTGAATTAATTTTTGTGTGTGCTGTTAAGGTGTAAGTGTCCAGCTTTCAGGATTCCATTTCTTATTAAATGGACACACGCTGGATGTTAATAAATATGGAATTTGTTAGAAACATAGTGAAAGCCTGGGGTACAGATGAGACACAAATGTTTATGCTGTTAACGTTTCTAAGTGTTTTAGGTGTTGGGAGTAGTTGTAATGCTGTTAGACAATTTAAAACTGTATTGGGGACTCTAATGGAATCCTGGTCACTTCTACTAGTTATAATTAGAAAATTATACAATTTATGAATTGTCTTATGTAGGTTTGTCACTCATGTTTTATTTTTCTGATGATTGGACTAGCCATTGACGTACATTCTTCTGAATGTAAATCTGTTCATAAGAAATCAGAGAAATGGGCCTCCCTGGTGGCGCAGCGGTTGAGCACTGGGTTGCGAAGCTGCCTGCAGCCTCTGCAGCGCCAGTTCGATCCCCGGCTGCTCCCCGGCCACCGGAGGAGGGTCCCACATGGCGCGCAGACCTCTCCTGCCGCCCGCTGCTCCCCTCAGCAGTGTACTTCGGTCCTTCTGCCTGTTCTGCTGCCCGCTCTGGCACTGGTGAATTCTCTCACCCTCCCGCGCTTCTGACTGTACCCAGTGCTTGTATGAATGAATGAATGAATGAATAAATAAATAAATCTTTAAAGAAAAAAAAAAGAAATCAGAGAAAGGGCCTCCCTGGTGGCGCAGTGGTTCAGCGTGGGTTGCGAAGCTGCCCGCAGCCTCTGCAGCGCCGGTTCTATCGGTCGAGGGTCCCACATGGGCCACAGACCTCTCCTGCCACGCCCGCTGCTCCCCTCAGCAGTGTACTTCGTCAGTCTACTTCGTCAGTCTGCCTACTTCGTCAGCTCTGGCTCTGGTGAATCCTCTCACCCTCCCGCACTTCTAACTGTACCCAGTGCTTGTATAAATAAATAAATAAATCTTTAAAAAAAAATCAGAGAAAGACAAATACTGTATTATTTCACTTGTGGAAGATAAAGGAAATAAATGAACAAACAAAACATAACCACTTTGACTATAAGAACAAACTAGTGGTTACCAGAGAGGAAAAGGAAAGGGAGGTAGGTAAATGGTGAATGGAAACTAAGCTTTTGGTGATGGTGATAATGTACTACATATAGATTTTTGAATCACAAAAGCTGTGTACCTGAAGCCCGTACAGTATTTTATTTAAACCAATAAAAAATTAAATCAATAAAAATTTTTGAAAAAGAATTAACTTTAAATGGACAGTCATGATAACTGTATTTGAGTCTCTGTTTTACTCTTACCTCCTTGTGGAGGAAGAAAAAGTGAATTGTACTTCTTATTAGTGAAAAATCAGAAGTGAAATTTCATGCCAGATAAAATTTTCACCTTTTTCAGGGATTGAGGAATGATCTGAAAGCAGCTTTGGATAAGATCGACCAACAATACCTCAATGAACTTGTAGGTGGTCAAGAACCTGGAGAGGAAGACACACAGAATGATTTGAAAGTTCATGAAGAAAACACCACAATTGAAGAGTTAGAGGTAACCTCTACTTCACCTCATTTTATCTCCCATCACACCTTTCATTTCCCTGGAGCAGGTGGTTAAGGTCATTAGATCCTTTTTTTTCAGAGCACACCCCTGCTATTGCTCTTTAGAAAGCCTATTCATTGTCTTTTGTTTCATGCTTTTATTTATTCACTCTCCTTTTCTCATTTTCTACTCCTGTCCCCCTTCAAAAGTAGTTATTTAAACAACTTTGATGTGCATCTTTTTATTTTTTGAAACTCGTGTGTGTGTGTGTGTGAATTTGATTTATATAAATGATACTGTGTGTGAAATTCTTCATTTTATTTTTCACTTTTCTTTTTTCACCTGTCACTGTGTGTAAGATCCAGCCTTGGTGGCTTACATACATTTGGATATTTGCTTTTAATGCTACATAATTTTTATATATTGTGGTATTCATGGCCTTTCCATTTTTATTCCCCCATAATGTCAGACAGTTAGATTGCTTCCATCTCTTGGTCACAAGCAGGTTTATGATAAACAATCTTGTCCATACCCTGTACAGACTAAGAAGTGAGATTGCTGAATTTGTAAATATTCAACTTGTCCAAGTACCACCAGGTTGCTCTTTGCAATGACTGTACTTGTTGATACCCCCATACCAGTATGTGTCATGTATCCTTTTATACCTGCCTATACTTGGCAATATCTTGCTTTCTAATTTTGCCTGTGTGTTAAATGTGGAGTGATATATGGAATCTTTAATTAAAAAACAAGTGTTGTACCATCTGAATATCTAGTATGAGCATACTATATGGCTTAGTTTATAGCTCTTAATGCTTAATAAAACATACTGTTATTGTCCTATTTCATTCCTGCTCTTGCACATGGTGTACTTTTCCACATGGTACTCTGAGATCAGGGTTTAGGAGGATGTCCTTTTAATAGCTCCCCCCATAACACCTATCAACGCATGTGAAATTTATAGAAATAATTGGTGTGAGCTAACAGTTTTGGGCTTTTTTTAAAAACAGCTTTTTCAAGATCATGTATTATACAGTTTGCCTGTTTAAAGTACACACTAGTTTTTGGTATATTCGCAGCTTTTATTACAATGCAATTTTAGAACATTTTTGTTCTCAAAAGAAATCATATATGCATTAGCACTCATTCCATTTACCCACTCTTTACTCTTTTGATTCATAAGATAGCATGCTTTCTAAATTTAACTAGCAAATTGATGGTTTTCTTTTCTAACTCTTCTAGAAATTCCTTCAGGTTTTTAAATAAAAATATACAGTATATGGGGCTCCCTGGTGGCACAAGGGGTTAAGATGCAACCTATGAAGCAAATCACAGCCTCTGCAGCACGAGTTTGATCCCCGGCCAGCCAGGGAGAAACCCATATGGTGCATTAGACCTCTCTTGTTTTGCCCGCTGCTCCCCTCAGCAGTGTATTTCACGCAGTCTGCCTGTTCTGTTCCCTGCTTTGTCTCTGGTGGATCCTCTCACCCCCAACATCTCTGGCCTGTACCCCAGCTCTTGTATGCATAATAAATAAATCTTTTAAAAAAATACAGTATATGTAATAAAGAATTTTTGTTTAGATTAGTGTTGATAACTCAAATGCAATTATTCCTCTTTACTAGTGAATAGAAACATGATTTTTCTTTCAGGCATTGGGAGAATCTTTAGGAAAAGGAGATGATCATAAAGACATGGACATCATTACCAAGTTTCTTAAGGTATGTACATCTAGATTAGGGAAGGACATTTGGTGGGTTATGGAACTGGCTCTGTGTTTTTGGATTATCAAAGATTAAAGATTAGGAAGGGAAATACTCGGGCCTCCTCGGTGGCTCAGCAGGTTGAGCGTCGTGCTGTGAAGCTGTCCACAGCCTCTGGAGCATGGGTTTGATTCCCGGCCGGCCAGAGAGATACCCACATGGCATGGTAGACCTCTCCTGTCTTGCTCGCTGCACCCCTCACCAGTATTTTCAGTCCATCTGCCTGTCCTGCTCACAGCTCTGTCTCTGGTAATTCTCTCACCCTCCCACGCCTCTGGCCTATACCCCAGTTCTTGTATAAATAAATAGATCTTTAAAAAAAGGGGGAGGAATACTCAAATATTCCATGCATGTACACTTTAGGGTTAGGGTTATATACTTGGATGTGGAAGTTAAAGAAAATTAATATTTCTTTGTGGTACTTTTAAAAAGCTTACCTATTAATGTATATACAGAGAAAAGAATGCAGAATGAACAAGAAGTTTGGAAAGTTTAAAACTTGAAAGCACTTTCAGAAGGCACACAAGGAGAGGGTTCCAGAAGCTTTAATGAGAGGGTGATGATAGTAGGGAAAGAAGGATATGGAAAGACATTGGCAGTGAAAAGACCAATAATATCAGTAACCTTTCAAAGACTTTATTTCTGAATTGTACCTATTCTTGCTATGATTAACTCATTCCAGTTTTCTTCCTAGCATTACTCTTTTTAGTGGCCTAGGTAGAGTATGTGCAAATTGCAAATTCATTTTAGTGTATTCACAAGCTGTTTGTGTTCACACCAAGAAATTTAAAAGAAAGAAATGCTTTTGCTAGTATTTATAGCTTAAATCCAACATAGTCATCATCCAGATTCTGAATATATTAAGACGAGGGCCTGGGAACTGGTGGGTACTGGAATTTCCTCTTTGAATGATGGCCTCTCATTACACAGGTATAGGTTTAGCTAATGCTGCTAGAGGAGTATGACTTCAGTCTTCACTGTTTACCTACCTCAAGAAACGGTATTCTTTGTGCAGATAAACTCAAGGGGTAAGGGGAGGAGTGTAGGAAATGGGTCATAGTTGTATAAATTTCTGTTCCTTTTTTTCCTTTAGTTAGATGTTTTAGTTGGAATTTTTAATTAAATTGTGGTCAGTATTGCACAAATAAAAAGACTTAACTATAGTACACTTGGAAGACTGATTATATATCACAGCATTATGATTTTATAGCTGACAAATACAAGTACATGCTTATTGTTACCCATGAAACTTGATAAGATCTTTTTGCATTTAAATGGATTATTTTGTGCTAAGAATTTATGTTTGAGTCTTACTAAAGGGTGTACATCAAAACATGCAGAACAAAATAACCAGAAATAGTTCATTAATTAAATACTAAATAATATTAATAACCAGTGAAGAAATTTACTTTAATATTAATATTATGTTGTTTTTTTATGTTAAAGAACTTCTAAAACTGTTGGACCACTGGGTGGCATTGTAGTCTAAATTTACCCATTCTTTCAACAGTTTCTTCTTGGTGTTTGGGCTAAAGAATTGAATGCCAGAGAAGATTATGTGAAACGCAGCGTGCAGGGTAAACTCAACAGTGCTACTCAAAAACAGACTGAGTCCTATCTCAGACCCCTCTTCAGAAAGCTACGGAAAAGGGTGAAGCTTCTTGAAAAAGGCTTTTATTAACTAACTTTTAAAAAGGGAATATATATAGAATAAATGTTGTCTGTTAGCTTCCAAAATCAGTTCATGCTCTTTTCCCCTTTTCCAGAATCTCCCTGCTGATATTAAAGAATCAATAACAGATATTATTAAATTCATGTTGCAGAGAGAATATGTGAAGGTATGTTACCATTTATGCATCAAAATTATGCTTATGAGCACATCTAGATTATGTATGTAATGCTTATTTGTGTGGCAGTATTTTACATAGGTGATTTAAGAATAAATGTGAAGTGAACTAGAAGTAAAAAAACTTACTTTTTTAATGTATGGTCAGCTTTATTGTTAGGTATGAACAATACACCATCAGATTGCTCTGTATTTAGTTATTTTTAAGGTAACTCAGCATTCTTTAAAGCATGAAATGGATATAGGCAATGTTCATTTTATGAATGGGATTGAAATTCAGAGTTCGTAGGTCATTATTGGGGACTGGAACAGATTTTCCCATAGAAATAATGTTATGCAGGTTAGTTTCCCAGACCAGCTATAAAAGCTTATTTAGCCAAACGATTGCGCTAATGAGACAACAGGATTTAACTAACCTTTATAATTGTTTCTTTGGGAAAATGTTCCATGTAAGGTTGCCAGAATTCATCTTTCCCTTTTCAGTATCATTTGAAATGGAAGGGAAGACATTTCCCTTGTTCCAGTGGCTTTGTTTCTGAATGGGTTCTGGCAGCATGTGGCAAGGGAAAGAGCTCTTGTGTCCAAGGATTGCTGAGACGGAGTTTAGTTAGGGGAAGGTGGAGGGCTGTTAGTTGGTGCAGAGGAACAAGAAAAGGGCCTACTACACCAGAGCTGGAGAGTGGAAATGTGATGCTGCCTGATGGGTGAAAAACAGAGGTAGGCTGTGCCTCCCAAGAGAATAGGAGTAGAGAATTTCAGGGCAGCAGTTCCACTGACAGTTCTAGGGAGTACATGGAACTCTGACAGAAAAGTGGGAATGATGCTGCTTATTCTTGTGTACTGAGTATCTGTAGTTCCAGGAAGGAACTGCTGGCATTCCTAGGTAACTGGGTGTTTACTTGATCAAGCTTCATGTTAACGAGGCTAATAAGTAGCGATTTTACTCCTAAGAGCCAGTCTTCACAAAGAAAACTTTTATGGCTACAAATTTCTTCAGTGTATATATTTATGGCCATAATTTAGTCTATATAATGTCTATTAGTTGCATGATTCTTGTGGACAGTTACATTGGAATAAATGGAAAAGGTCATTGTCTACTAAAGTAGATGCCTATCCCCTTATTCTCACATGTAAGAATCAGAAAATTTATTTTGTGTAAACTGCAGAAAGAGCCAATAAACTAATAATCCGTTTGGATGGTTTTATTTGGAAATTGGAGAAACTAAATATTGGATTTTTTGTCAGTTCATAACTAGATTTGAAACTTAGGCATTTGAGAATCATTGGTAAAAATGTATATACACTCTTCTTAAATAAAGCTTTGTAGAACATATTTGAATTTAGGATAGAAAATCGTCTTCCAGTTAGCCTATTAGCAGTACCAGTATTTTTTTCTCATCGACTCTATTTATCAATCACATAGATGTTTAATTTCTGAAATTAAAGTCTATATATAATATAAAGTCTATATTAAAGTCTGGCTACATAAGCTTTTCTGAAATATCTCTAGGTCTTTTAGTATTGACTTGCTTTCAGTTTTTCTCCATATAAGTACAGTCTGGGTTTAGAAAAAGACCTATTTGTCTTCATTGATTTTAGTCTTTGTGTTTTGTAGCTTTTATTTTAAGATTCTTGGCAGGTGGGAAATGGGGGATGCAGGGACAAAGTGGGCCGATCTCATTCTTCAGTTATTTGACTTGAGGGCCAGTATTTAATCTCTGTTTATACATCTGCTGTGGACCGTATATGATAGTCCCAGCACACAGAACCCCCGCTGCTTTCAGAGCTCTGTTCAGCTGTGCAGGGAATGTATATAATTTCAGGTTGGATTATGAAAAACTAGTTAGCCTCTGTCCTCTGTGTGACCACCTATGGAGAAAATTAGGTCTATAGGTGACCCAAACTTGAGTTTCTGTCAGTGTATCGAATTACCTACCTGGTAATTCCATATCTGAAATGTATTAATTTTATGCACAAAGGCTGCACAGGAATGTTTGTCTTTATAGTCACAAGATTAGCTTTGGTTTCCATTTTTCCATGAACATTTGTGGTCTTGGGCAGGGCAGTCAGTCACCCAATATTTTAATTTCTTATATTTGAATAACTGAAATGGTAATACTTTCAGCATACCAAAGAGATTGATGAAAACTACATCAAGGTCTGGGAAGTAATTGAAATAAGAATTTGGACCAACACAAGAGTTTTGCTTTTCTGATCTCTTCTTAAACTTTGTTTTCAGGCTAATGATGCTTATCTTCAGATGGCCATTGGAAATGCTCCTTGGCCTATTGGTGTCACTATGGTTGGTATCCATGCCAGAACTGGTAGGGAAAAGATTTTTTCCAAGCATGTTGCACACGTATTAAATGATGAAACACAGCGGAAATACATACAGGTAAGCAATTTGGAGGGAAGGAAATTGCTCTGAAGTTTAACATTCTTCAATTCCCAAACTGAATTTTGAAAGCAAGAGAATTATAGCAATTAGGATGAAACTTGATTAGAATGCAAGTTCACTATTGAGGAGTGATATTTAAGATACCTTCACTGAATAGAATTAAAGATCTTTTTTAAGTTTCATATATGATTTTAGACAATGTGAAATGGCTGTGTTTTAATTACCTTAGCACTGAAATAAAATCAGTTTACTTTCAGGGTTTAGTGAAGCTTGATAAATTTAGAGTATTTTGCAAGATGTTCTTTTTTATTCCTTATCTACCTTCAAGGTATATGTAACATCTACCAGACTAAAAAGGTAGGAGTAGTAAGAAAACAAAAATGGCATTAATAATAGTTTTCAAGGAACTTACTTTCTACATGAATAAGTCTGTAGCATTTATAGTTTATTTTCTCCCCCTCCCCCCCAATAGTTTATTTTCTTAAAGTTACACATGCCACAAATAAAGTTGTTTGCACTGTGTTGGGTTAAACTTTTCTTCTTATTGGGGGAAAAAAAATTAATTGTAATCTAACTTTTGCCAAATTACCAGAATTCTCAGTTTGTATATGTATAATGATTTTGCGAGATGTTAATTCTAAAACTTGAAGATGACACTCTGGAAGTTTACTGAAAATGTAAAATTCATAAAATACTTTTCAGATTTTGTGCCAGAGAATAATCATTACCATATTCATAAGTTATCTTTTTATTTGTATTTCAATTCGAAGTGGTAAATGTTAATTTGTGTGTCATGCTTTATGCCTTATTCATATATATTAGCATTTTAAAATATGATTTCAATGTGACTTCCTAATATGAACTGTAAAATTTACAGAGCTCAAATATAGACTGTTGAAACCCAAAGACATTTCCAGTTTTTAATAACCACCAGTGACTATATTGAAGGCATTAAGTTTTTAGTTAGGAAAAAAAGCTGACATTAAAATGGAAAACAGTTCCCAATGATTAAATTTGCTAATTGTGTTCAGCTATATCATGGCCAAAGCTATAGGGTTTATAAAAGTTTATATAGACAAATTGTCTTAAAGAGAGCATTTCTTTTTTAGACAATGACATGATTTTCACCTCGCTATAACCCCATTTTCTTTTTTCAAATATACATAGCCTTTAAAAAGATTTTTGGTTTATTTTTGAAGCTGTACAATGACCTAACCTTCCTATTGTGTTCTTTTTTAATTGTTCCCTTCCTGTTTAAAAAAAATCTTTGTCTCCTCCATCTTCCCTCCCCCCTCTCCTCCTAAAATATCAAGGGGAAATTGGTGAACATACTGTATCTGAATGTTAGGAAGGATAATTATTCTTGTAATACTCTTCTGAACAGACATAGACATGATATTTTCTGGTGATTCATAGCTTATTGAGTGAGGGAGCCACAGAATACTGAATCAGTGGATCTATATCTATTCAGGTGGGTGCTAGTGATACGTCATAGGGTTTTTAGTGATACCTCTATGCTGTCCTATTTGACAATTCAGTGACTGATTTGGATGACTGTAGAGAAAAGCATTTTTACCAGTTTTATAGTCAACAAAAATAAGAAGGTATATGGTATGTGTTGAAGTGGAAGAGAAATTGGCGTTCCATCAAGAAGACGTGGCATATATAACAATGGAATATTATTCAGCAATCAAAAAAGACAAACTCATGCCATTCGCAGCAACATGGATGGAACTAGAAGGAATTATGCTCAGTGAAATAAGCCAGAAGGAAAAAGAAAAATACCGAGTGGTTTCACTAATAGCAGGAATATAGGCGAACCAAATAAGACATTAGTGTGAAAAAAAAAACAGCACAAAACACAACAAAGCAAAAATGGACAATTATAAATCAGAGACATCCTGCAGGGGAGGTTGAGGGAGAGGGATCAGAGGGAGGGAGGAGCACAGGGGACTGAGGTGATAGTGCTCAGGTACATTGGTGAAGGGACTACACCTGAGGAGGTGGGGGGAAGCAAATATTATTTAAAAATGAACAATGATGTAAAAAAATATATAAAAGAAAATGCATACATTATGCAAAAATGAAAAATGATGTAAAATGTATAAAATAAAAAAAATAATAAATTAAAAAAAAGGGCAGATTCTAAAAACATCTAGCAAGGATGACCATAAGGAAATTTAAATCTAGGGCCTTCCCAGTGGCGCAGAGGTTGAGTGCTAGGTTGAGAAGCTGCTCGCAGCCTCTGCAGCGCCGGTTCGATCCCCTGTGAGGGTCCCACATGGTGCCAGACCTCCTGCTGCCCGCTGCTCCCCTCAGCAGTGTACTTCGTCATTCTGCCTGCTCTGCCCTCTGGCTCTGGTGAATTCTCTCACCCTCCTGCGCTTCTGACTGTACCCCACTGCTTGTATAAATAAATAAATCTTTAAAAAAAATTAAAAAAAAAGTGATACACATGTGGCCAAGAAATAATAATAAAAAAAGAAATTTCAATCTCATAAGCCAGTTGATTCAGCATACAATCCAGGTGCTGTATATGAGGAAAAATTAGGGAGTTTAATGGGTTATAAGTAAAATTAGTAGTATGACATGGCTACTGAAAATCGTACAATAACTTGTGTTATCATAGACATATTAATTTAGACATAATAATAATTTAGTGTCAGCCCCACAGGGCAAAAACATAGTACGCTATTGTACCTCCGGAGTCTCCAACAGACCTAACTCATGGTGGATGCTCAGTCAGTGTTTCTTGATTGAATAAATAGTCTGTAGAGTCAAGACAAGAAAAATAATAATCTTGCACTTTCTTCCTAGTTCTTGAGAAAGGAGACTGGTGGAGATCTGGACAGCAGTGCTGTAGTTAATGGAAGAGCTTTCTAGTGGAAGAGGGATTAAACTTGTTTATATAGCTAAGAACCATGTAAGGTATATGTAGGAAGACAAATTTCTAATCAATATAAGCAAAAGATGTTTTTTGTTAACTTTTTATTTGGAAATACAGACTCACAAGACATTGCAAAAATTGCATGAAGAAGCTTTAAAGCACAACAGCATCTCTTCATCTAGGAGTACAACTGCTTTGAAAGATGGGCGAGGTCCCTGCCATTTGATGTTGGCAAACACTGAGTTTACTATTTCCCTTTCTTATCCTCTGTCCCTTAAATCTCTCTGACACTTCTGCCATTTTCTCTAAGAGTCATTACTTTAACCTACAGTTGGAAATGTGTCCATGACCAAGTCAGATGACAAGCGAGCTGACTACTAAGAAACACCTGATGTTCTGTTATTGGGTTTCCTAGTTTTCACATAGACACAGAGAAGCAGTATTATTTCATTTTTCTCTCAATTCTCCTGTGAGAAAAGTGGATGATGGAAGCATATTGTGAAGTGTCAGCTGATGCTTAGTCTTGGTGTTGTTGGAATTACCTTAGCTCATTGTATCCTTGTAGTAATATGGTCTCATTGTTGCTTGATTTTCCTTTTTAATGACAAAATCTTGATATTTTTTAACTGATTGAAAAAACATTTTAAAAATATTGGTATCAGTTCAAAAAAATTAAGAATATTTAAAATCAAACAAAATGTCAATTTGTGACCTATCTCAAAATAAACTCATAATGCAGCTTAAGACCAAAGAATGACCAACTCAAGTTAGATTTTTGTATATTCTTGATTATAATGAACTAATTTTACTAAGCTGTCATAGGAATCTCCCTGTCACTTTCCTTTTTTGATGAGGTTGAGTTGAATTTTCCTAAAAAGGAACAGTTTGAATATATTATTTGAAGTTTAAGTCAGAGGTTGGCAGACGTTTTCTTTCTTTCTTTTTTTTTTTTTTAAGATTTATTTATTTATTTATTTATTCATTCATTCATTCATTCATTCATTTATTTATTTATACAAGCACTGGGTACAGTCAGAAGCATGGGAGGGTGAGAGAATTCACCAGAGCCAGAGCGGGGAGCAGAGCAGGCAGAAGGACCGAGGCACACTGCTGAGGGGAGCAGCAGGCGGCAGGAGAGGTCTGTGCACCATGTGGGACCCTCCTCTGGTGGCCGGGGAGCAGCCGGGGATCGAACTGGCACCACGGAGGCTGCGGGCAGCTTCGCAACCCAGCGCTCAACCGCTGCGCCAGCGGGGAGGCCCGGCAGACGTTTTCTTAAGGGATCAAATAGTAAATAATTTAGGTTCTGCAATTCTTAGGTCTCTCTTGCAACCAGTCAGTTCTGTACATCTAGTGTGAAGGCAGCTAGTGGTTGTGTTCCAATAAAACTCCATTTATAAAAGAGGCAGATAGCCTGTAGGCCATGGTTGCTAACACCTGGTAAATGTGTAAATCCAAGCCTTTTTTTTAGGTTAAGATAATTGTTGAGAGAGTAGTTGTGAAGGTCATTTAATAGTGTGAAGGTCATTTAATAGTCACTATTCTGACCTGTGTCATTATTGGTAGATTTTGGTTAATTTTACTTGTTTTGAGCATCATTCAAATGGAATTTTGCAGTGTGGGAGGTAATTTTTTATTTATACTCATGAGAATATCAGGTGAAAAATACCTGTTTTATGAAATATAGTAGAAAACAGTTCATGGGTCTATTTAACTGTAACATGATTTCATCTTTTGCTATTATGCATACCTCTATCAAATTTATACTGTGGAAACTGAGTGTTCTTTTTCTCACAAAAACTAAACATACCACAGAAAGAGTTTTCTTACCATTCAGATCAAAGAAAAGTTGTGGAGCTTACCAACTAGCCTCAAACCCAGGGTTAGCTTTAAATTGGTGGTAGTAAACTGCAAGGACTTTGTTCATTTTCGCTCAGGGAGGGTGTAAACTTTGACCCAGATTTGAGTAAAGCTTTTACACAGACTATAGAAGTTCTTGATTATTTAGAGACTTTATAAGTCAGTCACTTCAAGACACCTCTTGAAAAGGTTCACATCTTGAGCATTCTTGTCTTTATAAAAGAGAAGAAATAGGAATTAGAAAAAAAGG